GGGGGGGGAAGGGAGGGGATTGGGTGTGTGTGTGGGGGGTTGAGTTACTGAGTGGCTACTTGTTTTGGTGTCAGCATCTGTGTGTATCTTCCTGACACTCTGCAGAACTTTTGTTTGGCCTTCCTAACAAAAGAAACAAACAGTCCCCCGTAACTTTATCTACTTCTGTTATTTCATGTACTGAATTCAGAATGAAAGCTAGCAAATGGAGAAAGTGCACAGAGTAACAAGAAATCATGCCTGTAATAAACAGACAGATATAATTTGAATTATGGAATAGAGAGATTTGCTCAATGCGTTTAAGTGTGTTGCGTGAACCCAGCCAGTATGGTTACTTTATGCTTAGCTGTGTTGTGCAGATCCTGGCAGTTGACTTAATTCAGCTAACTGTTGCTAAGTAAGTGACGTCTCCTTCAAGCTGAGATGTTCATTTAGTTTTCTTGGCAGCAATATGGAAGAGATTTCCCACTGTTTTCTTTTGGGTCCCTCTCTTGATTTTTAGGAAATTAAAAATGTTGCATTTCTTCCTCTTTTAATGCAGCTTTTATGTGTCTGCTGAAATTTGCCAGGTTTTACTCATTAAGTTTCTAACTATAGTTTTTACATTAGTGGCATCAAAAAACATTGTGACGATAGAGGCAGATTATGAATGTTTAAAATAAAAAGATGCTAAGTCATCATTCAGTGGTGAGCACATGCTCTGCATGTTGAAGGCTTTTAAGTTCAATTCCTGATATCTCCCTTGTTTTTAAAAAAGGAAAAAACTGCAGTAATGGGGGAAAAAACTGTTACTAGACATCCTGGAGTTCAGTTGCTAATCGTAATAGATCCCCAGACTGAGCAGACTCACATGGTGCTTGAAATCTTTCTCATTTAATTATGTATTCCACAGCTTCTTGACAAAGAAGAATATGTTCTCCCAGCATGTGAGCCACAGAATCTGGCCCATGGATATGTAAGAATCAAGGTAATGATAGACTGTATTTAAAATTAATGACACCTTTAATTATTTTCAGTGGGGGAAACAATTCTGTTTATTGTGATCGAACAGGTAGCAGTGAAAGATCATGCAGTGTGAGTTAGTCATTTCACATAATGCAAACAGCAGGCTCAAACTCATCCCAGATAACTAGCAAGACGTGGCCTCAGTCACCTTGTTAGGATCTGTCCAGCTTGCATCCAGCTCAGAGCAAATCTGGTTTTATCCTCTATGTCTCTCAAACTCTTTACTGCAGCCCAGCAAATGCTTTTTCAGCCCACTTTCCCTTTCCATGTAAATAGTGCCACTGGCTGGGACTGTAAGGTGCAGTAAGAGAGAAAAAATATTGCCATTTTGCTGCTGTTGTAGAAGCTGAGCAATAACCTCTGTGTGGTTGGATTCACTCCTGGACTTTTGCCATCAGCATTCCAATGTCTTCATGGGACAGTGGGTTTCTGTCATTTATTTACCATTTCCTGTATGGTGATTTTATATAGGATGGTGGTAGATCCCTAAGCTGCTTTGTGTGTGTGTGTGTGTGTGTATTTTTTTTTTTTTTTTTGCTTTTACACCTGGCCTGCTTTTCAGGAATTTACTCTGAGATTTAGAGATGCAGTTCTTCTGCCTCCTTTGATAATTGTGACTCAAGCCTTTCTTCCCTCCTGTCTTTAGCTTCACACCCAGTTGCACTTTGTGGAAATGGGGAGTGGTCCAGTGATTTGTCTCTGCCATGGCTTTCCAGAGTCCTGGCTTTCTTGGAGGTTCCAGGTAACTCAATTTTTAAACATACTTATTCCTACTCTGTTTGAATGCCATCTTTCGGAATAAGTTCAACCTACTTGAAAGAAAAGGTAGAACCTGTTTCTGATACACATTATATAGCACCTGCAACATTTGCATTGAAGTTTTGGATCACAGGAAGACAGGCCCCCTCTTTAAGACATTTCCAGTCTAAAGTTCAGCTCAGGAGGAAGCATGGAGAAGAAAGCTGAAGGTAAGTGGAGCAGATGGAAGACATGTGTTCATTTCAGTTTATGTATAGTTGCTTCAGTTGCATATACTTAGCTTTCTCAGCAGTATGAATTGATTTAGCACAAGTGGGGACAACTTTCTGATTTTTGGATGGTGGGTAATGATGCAAAATGAGACAGTCAAGATTTGGGAGATTTTTTTCCTTAGTTTTTCCTTAATTTTTAGCACTTGCAGGACTTTTCTCTTTTGAACACCTATGTATATATTAGGGCTTATGCTTCTAGTGTTGAATATTTCCCATCTCAGATAACAGGATACTGAGTTACCAATTTTCACCTTGGTGGTGTGGTGCCAAGGCCACATGTAGTCCTGGGACCTCATGTGGCCTATTTTTTGCAGAAAGTCTTTGGAGGACAAAAAAAGGTAGGAGCAGGGCAGAGAAATCATCCTGGCTTCTCCTAGATGGAAACTATCTGTTGTTCTGAGAATGTGATAATACAATACATACATTGACTATATATCAGAAGAAGGCAGTCTGATGCTCTTTAGATGTTAGGACCTCAACTCTTGCAGTCTGTTATCATTTGGATGGATGGGTGGGTGGATGGAAGCTGAAGTCCAAAACATCTCCAGGTAGAGGACACCAAGTTGCCTACCCTGTTATTTAGATAAATGGATGGCAGGAATGAGAGATAGGCCTTTCAATGCTGTCCAAACTACAGAATATTCTCCATGGGAAGATCTGTCAAACACTCTGTTGGTAGGAGCGCTGAAAACACATTTGTTTAGGCAGATTTATTGCATCTGAAAGAATGTTGGTGATTTATGCATTTGCTGATGTGACTTTTGTAATATATCCCTTTTGTTGCCTTTGGGTTTTCATTATGCTTTTAGTGATGCCTGTGATCTATAATAGTTAGTTTCTGTAGAAATAAAAATCTAAAAGTGGAGATTTCAAGTTAAAAAGAGTGGATCCCAGAGCAAGAAACAGTAACCAAAAAGTCTTGTTGGATGACACAGTGCCTTAATGGGGTCTTAGTAGAAGCTGATAGTTAATTATAAGCCTCCTGTGGCTTCATATGAAGGCCAAGATGGAACCCTCTTTGGATTTGAGGAATATAGAAATAGTTGATGGTATAAAGTGGAACGGCTTTATTTGTCTAAATGGAAAGTGGGGAAGTCCCTCAATTCTGATGCAACGAAAGAGTTATTTTTACATATTTTGAGTAGTGCACAGTTCATGAAGCATTTACTAAATTCTGTCTGCATTTTCCTGTGACAGGAAATATGTAAGCTTTAAAAAATGCAAACAGGACTGCAGGGTTCAAACAAGAGCAAAGGTACAAGGGCTGGAGAGGGAGAATTTAAGCTCTTTGCTCATCTCTAGGGTCCTAACAAAAATAACTGATTTCAGAGTAGGCTTAAATACATCAAGGGGTCAATGTTATGTAATGCATTTTGGGCAAAGTTGACTGCCCACTGCTTGCAGCATGGATTCTGATCCCTTGAAGGTGGCAAGTGTTGACATATTGGTTGTAACTATTGATCATTGCCAGGAAGGATAAGAAAGGGAAATAATTTTCTCAGCTGGGGGAGAACTAGGTGAGAGTGAACATGAATGATTCAATAATTTGGATTAATACATGTGCACCCTGCACAATTGCTTTTGTTTCTCTCTCCATGTTAGATTCCTGCCCTTGCTGATGCTGGTTTCCGTGTCATTGCCTTGCAAATGAAAGGCTATGGAGATTCTGAGGCTCCACCAGGTCAGTTTACAATGGAGGTTTAAAACAGGTTTACTAGTTCACTTTTTAAATGTGACCTTGTTATTTAGGTCACTTGTTCGTTGTTCTTCAGTCATGGCTTCCAGGTGGGTTTTAGCAATAGAAGCGACACCATGCAAAGCAAAGAAGTCACTGTAATAATTTAAAATGAATGAAAATGCATTACATAACATTGACCCCTTGATGTATTTAAGCCTACTCTGAAATCAGTTATTTTTGTTAGGACCCTAGAGATGAGCAAAGAGCTTAAATTCTCCCTCTCCAGCCCTTGCACCTTTGCTCTTGTTTGAACCCTGCAGTCCTGTTTGCATTTTTTAAAGCTTACACATTAACTGGGTTCATGCAGTTAGCCACATTTCTGTAACTGGCAGCAACTCTCAACGGTCACAAGCCAAGAGAGGCCTTTCCAGCTCTACTGCTGTAAAGCCAGTATGTTATAATGGTTAAGGTGTTGGACTAAGACTGGGAAAGCCCTTCACCCTCCGGCATGGAAACACACTGGGTGACTCTAGAGAAGAAATTCTCTTAGTCCAACCTACCTCAACCACCTTGAGTTATTTAAGGAAAGGCCAGATGGAAATCTAATAAACAGTAGATTTAGATATTGGAATTTGACCTTTACATATGTATGCTATCCCCAATAACATTTGCTGCCTTTTTTCAATATACAGGTGTAGCATGTAGAATAGTGCCTTGTAAGACTTGGGATCTTTCCCCAAAATAATAGTCTCCTGTTACTGTCAGTCTACCTAAGTTGATGCTCTTGTTTGTTTTCCAGGTAGTCCTCATTAACATAATTGGGTCCCACAACTCCATTGCTAACCAACATAGTCATTAAGTGAAACATCACATGACCACCAGATTTATGACATCAGTTCTGCGGTCATTAAGTAAATCACCTGTGGTTGTTAAGTGAGACATCACATGACCGCAACTTGTGATTTTACTGCTGGCTTCTCCATTGACTCTGCTTGTCGGAAGCCAGCTGTGAAGCTCACAAATGGCAATCGTGACCACAGGACGCTGGAACGGTCATAAGTTTGAGGACCAGTAACTTTGAATGGTCGCCAAACAGAATGGTTGTTAACCGAGGACTACCTGTATTTACTTAGTTATTCCAGCTTTTGTGCCACTCCAGTCAGCCAGATTCTTATAATGGAGGCTTATAATTCTTCCATACTGTAATTCAGGTTAAAACAATATAAATACCAAAAAAGTTCCAACCACCCCCAATTTTAGTCCATGAGCTATACAATCTGAAACCCTAGTTTTCACTGAATATCCAGATGTCAGTTCACTCAGTGCAATCCCAGCTCTCTTCCATCCCCCAAAGAACTGTGGAAGAGCCACCCTTTGCTACTCTTTGGAATATTAATGGGGAAGGGGCCCTCTTTTTCTCTGAGGGGCAGGCTGTTCCAGAGGAGGGGGCTGCTACTGAGAAGACTTTCCCTTGGGGTCTCTGAAGTCAACACATCTTCAGAAGTAGGACCCACAAAAATCTCTGGATGGACAGAATCTGCCTGAATCAGGCAGTCTTGGAAGCCAGGGCCTAAGCCAAACAAGGTTTTAAGGGTAACAACCAACACCTTGAATTGTACTCAGAAGCCAACTGACAGTGAATGCATCCCTCTCAGTAGAACCTGTCATTCCAGTAAACTGAGTTGTACCCATTCCTGCCTGGGTCACTGCATTTTGAACCAGCGGAAGTTCTGAATAGTCTACAAGGGCAGCCCAGGTAGAGCATAGCCCCATTGACAGCTTTTGCAAATGTCAGGTCAGGTGGAATGAAGGTGGCATGAAGCAGCAGCAACCAGAAAAATCAATATTGGATTTGATTATGATTTTTTAAAACATTTTACTGATTTATCTGCGTTTTATTTATGCGTGTGCCACTTTGTTGGGCAATTCAGCTAGGGAGAACTTATAAATAAACATGGCATTTTCTCATCATATTTAGATTTGCCTTCCTCTCATTACTGAAATGCCAGGCATTATTTTATCTATCGATGTGTGGGTGCGCATGTGTGTGTCAGTAAACAAGTTCCAGTAGCAGTCAATGATTGAGATGTGGTTAATTTTTCCTTTTATATTATTTGCAGCAAAATCTAGGATCAGATTGTATTTACATTACACATGTCAGATTGTAAGTGTCCTTCTTGCCTTTTGCTGCAAAATTGCTCCAGGATTTTGTAGGCACAATACCCCTGACTTCTGGTCATGGATGGTCTCAGCAGCAGTGGCAAGCAGCAATAATGCTCCAATTTAGTTGCTGTCATTTCATTTCCCATGTGTCAGAGTGATGACATGTGAAGGATATAGTGGAAGATTAAAATGGACGGTTGACACAGCTGGGCCCTGAGTGGAAAAAAGGCATTAAATTGCCCTGAGCAGGTGACAGTAGGGAATTCTTATGAGTTCTGGTAGCCACCAGGGATGCAGAGGGCAGACACATATCCTAAGTCCTTTGAAACGTGTTAGAATTACAAGAACGGTTCACTTCTCCACTTTGTTTCCTTCCCTTTTCTTCCGTAACTGGTTATGTTCAAAGTTTCTCTTGAGTGCATATCCTATCCTGAGGGAAGCTGTTGTACCATCATTGTGCAAGGTCCATGTTCCCAAAGGGAATTTCAGTCTAGCAACAATATTGTGGCGTTGAGGGCTTCATGGTACAGGACTCCAAGCCAGGGTTCTGTTCTACAGCACAGGGATGAGGTGGAATTTAAATGGTCAATGTGTTTGTTCCATTGTTGGAAAGTTCAGTTTGATTTTATTCCAAGTTCTTGTGGAAACTGTCTCTGTCCTGCTGGCTGAAACTTCTAACCTTAATACTAAGATTGGCATTTCTATTTTGCCAGAGTCTGTAATTTCCGTTTTTCCTTTCTAAGTTGTCAGTGGACATGAGTGCTCATGCATGTAGCCTTTTTGGGTGGACAGGAGAGAGAAGTAGATCAAAGCGAGGCATTCCAAGAAAAGTCTAGGCTCGCTGACTGTGGATGGATCATTGCCTTCTGCAAACACAACTAAGAAATTGAAATACTCCTCGGGTGTTGCTCTTATCCCTTTGTGCATCTGTCCTGAATAGGATAAGAAATTTGTTTTTCCACTTTATGACATAGTGAATATTTGAAGTTGGCTTTCCCCTTTCTTGATTCAACAATCTTCTACTATAGTATAGGACTATATGTCAGGCCTAGCCCAAGGAATTCCAGGAGACCATGCAGATTCAGTTCAGCAATGTTTATTAGCTATGACCTCTAGCAAGAATCTT